TTGCGTTGACACTACAAATTGAGCCAAACCTACATCCTTCTGTGACACGAGAGCTCTGTTTCTGTAGGACTGGTCATGAACGATGTGCAATGTTTATAGGTGGTAGCGTGTGCGTATCCGTACCCTTGACACGTTGGCGATGGCTCACACGTATAAAAACGATGGACAAACCAGAGCGGGTAACAGCGAGAGCTCTGTACCTGCAGACGGGAGCTGTCTGAAATGCTGTCACAGGACCTGGGAGGGACCCCACTGATACTCAACGGAGCGGAGGTATGCCTGTGTCCCTGCAGCAACTGGCTGCCAGGTTGGATTCCCATCCCACTGACACCCTCGAGGAGCGCGGGATGCTGAACATGAACCGAAACGTGTTTATGCTGTGACCGTGTGAAGCTGTTTCTCCCCCACAGACCCTGTTTTTGCACCCATTTCTGTGCAGGTACGACCAGCGTAGGAACAGCAGGGCCGTCTGTGCAGGTTTCGGCGGCTGCATGACATTTTTAACGGCAGCATCTGCTTCCAGAGGAAGCTGCCAAGTGGGGCTTTTCAGTCCTTGCAGTGGCTCTCAGTAACGCGACTCACATGGGGAATGAGGAAGGTCAGTTCCCGGCAAGGGTCTCGCTGGCTTTTTGGCAGGGCTTTTCCTTGCTTATTCTGGGCAACAAATCAGCACTGGTTCAGCGCCACAGGAACCGAGGCTCATCACATCCTTCCTCTCTCTCTGGCGCTCAACAACCCACCCAATAATAATTTTTTTTTTTCTCTGTATCTCACTCTTTTTCTACGGGTGTCACATCTTGTACCAGAACTGTCTCTTGGAGGATGCTTGTCTAGTCCCAGAGTTGCTCATCACAGTACCAGATGCTGTCTGACAGGTAGCTGCAGCATCTTGGTCTCAACAAGCTTCCTCCAGGGAAGCTGGACTTGCGGGGGCTTTTCCCAGAAGATGTTACTCCAGAAACAGTGACCTCATGGGATGTTTTTACAGAACCTCATTACAGTAATTGATGTCTACTCACGATTACTGCTGGGTTATTATAAAAGTGAGTAAAGCTGAAACTGTGCTGTGTCAATGGGACCGAACTTTGTTCAGTGAGAAACAAAGAGTGGTGAAGCCTAAATCCCCACCCAGAAAGGGGCAGTAAGAGTGTCCTGGGGGCATTTGGCCTGGCTGCCTTGTCTACTGCAGCATCACACATACTGTGGCCATCCTTGACAAATATTTTCAACTTATTTTTAATAAATTCCAGCGGCAGAGTTCAGATAGCTTCTCCAGTCAGGCAGTTTTAATGTTTAACCATTTATAGGTCTTTTCTCTCCAAAGGACTCATCAGAACAGCCCTGCCTGAACAAAGATGTTTCTTTTTCTGCTCTCAGTGGCAGTGTTTGCTGTGCTTCTGTATGAGTCTTATTCATAGTTGAGTTTCGAGGTTTCTCTTGACAGCTGAAACAAACCTAATATGATTCACAAGTCCCTCATTTGTATTATTTTTCTCCATCTGTTTATGTCCTTCATAAAACACAAAAGCCACAAAGTGGAGACAATACCCTGAGGATTCACTAGTGTTAAGAACAAAATAATTGCCTCTTAGGTCTTACATACAACATTCCCTTTAAATCACCCTCGAACGTCACTTGTTTCCTTTGTCACCACATCGTGCTGTTGATTCATACTCTGCTTCTGGTTCTCCAAAATCTCCAGGCTTGTGGGGATTTTTTTTCCTGCCAGACTGCAGACAGTTTGTTGTTCTCTATTTTAATATTTTCCCCTTTTCTTTTGACCTTTAACTAATCCATGATTAGTTTTCAGATAATTTTTCCTGCTATCAAGACTACTTTTAATTTTAGCCTATCCTCAGAAGTGCTGATAGCTCTCCCAGGGTGCATTTTCTCATGTTCAGTAAGAAACAAGTGCCTATTCCTGCCTTCAAATTACTTACTAAAAAAGTACCAAACACTACTACATAAAATTCTTGCAGACCTTACTTGATCAGCCTTCCCACTTTTTAATTTTTGGTTTCTACTGCAGACTGATTTTAGCGAGTTGTGAACCTAACTGACCGTGATTGTATCTAGACTCTATTTCCACAGCTTGCTTAAAATGAGATCAGAAAGGCCATTGCCCAACTGCATTCAAAGTCTGGATTTCCCCACCGATTTTTTCCTTACCCACTAGGGTAGTTATCCTGACAAAGGCAGCAGATGATTATTTTCATGGATTTGTTGGCAAATTCACAGCTGCAGTCTCTTACCTCTGCAGTGACTACTAGGGCCTTGTATTTACAAAAATAATTCCAATTTTTGTTCATCAGGACAGTGGTAACCTCTCCTGCCTTTGTAAGTGCTGGATGAGAGGAAGAAAGGTTCGGAAGCTGATCAGGCCAATGCCCTTGGTAGTCTCAGGTAAATCTCAGGAGGCTGCGTTGACCTGGCTACATCTAATAAATACACTTGAACCTGCTGGCATTCCAGCCTGCCCCCTTCTCCCCAGCATCTCTCCAAAGGTAACACTGCCTAACTCCTTCACTGTGACGGAAAACCAGATTTTTTCCTTTGTTAGCTGTCCAGCCTTGCATGTTGCAAACCTTGTTTGGTTTGTGTTGGCATAATGCAGATGCATTAGCATCACTAAGAGTATCTCACTGTGACCACGCTGTTAAATGTATCTGGTTTGGACTTAAATTAGGGAGCTTTTGCCTTCTCTCTTTATAACTCTTCACAAGGAAGGTTCACACACAAATAATAAATAACTTGCAAAAGTCAAATTTTGGTTTTAACAAACAAGTCCATGTGTTCTTTTTAAATAAGCGTTTTAACAAGACCAGATACAAAAAGAAGTACTAGACTCGTAGTGTGTGTATCTATATCCATCTATATCCATCTATATCCATGCCGACTTAGGATCTGATTGTGATCTGCCACAATCTCACACCCCACAGAATCACCTGGCAAGGCAGCATCCCTGCCTCCTGACATTCCAGCTCTGCTCTGTGAGCTGGCACATTCCTGGGGTTTCCTGCATTATCTGGAAACCTGCCCCTCTGCACTGGGCTGCTTTGGACAGTCTGTGACACAAGAAGTTGTTGTCCAAGGAACTGTGGTAAGAAGTTCCGTTTTTCCAATTCACAGACTTAGCACAAGCTGCACTTTTGTAAGCCTAACACTTACGAAAAAGCACATCTTAAAAGCTCCTGTCTTCAAAGAAAGCACTGTCCACAGAACTGACAAATACAGTTTTCCCTAGTAATTTCTTTAAACATTCAGTCCTTAAAAAAAGCGCATGCACAACCAGTTCACCATAATTTTACTTTGCTATATTCTGTACAATGTACTGCATTTTGTCCAGACATCTGGAAAGATAACAATTTATTTTAAGGTTGGACCAGATGATCCTTGAGGTCCCTTCCAACCTGGCATTCTATGATTTACTCTTTTCCCTCCTGAACAAGCCTTCGTATAGATACATTTATTTTATCTTCTTACGCAGCTGGTTCACGTTACACTAAGACAGTTTTTGTTTAAATAATTTCATCACGATCTGAACTCATTTTAGCAAGAATTATAATGACATGTGCTACAGTGTTTCAAGGGTTTTTTTAACTCTTACTTTGTTCCCTGCCTACAAAAAAAAAGGGGCGGGGGAGAAATGCTACAATACAGTAAGTAGTATAAGGTTAACACTGATGTTCCATGAACACAGGAATATAAAATAGCTAAAACGTTAATAAATATGTACGTAATTCTAGGTGGTAAGTCGTTGTGGACTGCTTAACCATCAGAAAAAACATGTATTTTTCATGTTTATTTTCACTAGCATACTGGTATGGCTGAGTATTTCATTACAGGCTCCAGAAGCTTTGAGGTGTGAACTGTAATGTCATCCCGAACTGTTACTATAGCAGTGACAACGGCATTCAAGAATAAGCAAACGTAAGTGCTGCTACAGTTACGTTTTCCCTTAAGCAGAAGGGTTACTAGCCAAATCTTACCCTTTCCCAAAACTGCTTTGTGTTTTTGTCACATCCCTGGAAAGATGTGAAATAGTATTTTTACGTTAACTTTTCCTGCAAGCTTCAATTGCCTCTCCTCTGTGTACATTTCAGGTTCCAGTCCTCCACTCGGTGATGCACATTAAGACATTCACCTGCAGAACCTAACTGCGTAATGGAGATTTATTTAAGCAGTTTTCATCTTATGCTATGCACATCACGCTATCACTTTTCAGGGAACTGGTCTACTCACAGGTTTGGTCAGAAGGGTTTGGTTTGGTTATTTTTTTAAATTTCCAACGGTGACCAAAGACCAGATTCCTCTTCACTTGCACACATGTTCAATTAGTAGCCTATGTGTACTATGAAGCTTTAAACCATAAGGAGCGGTAAGTACCAGATCCAAAAGCAAGAGATTAGAAGGCAGAACTTGAAAAGATGGAGAGACAATCACGTATAGAACAGGAATGCTGACATAGCACATACCTTCATAAAATGCATCTACATGCAGACTATTGCTAGCTAACTTTCTGATTATAGCTACAGCTTCTCTAAGGTGGATGAACTGTGGACTTAACATCTGTCCTGATGGAAAGGTGGCTCCAGCACAATCCACTGTAACTGGTCTCCCACTACACCAAGTTTTACAATCCTTGCTTTTGTCTGTCCTTAAAAATGGAAGTTCCTGTGAGTTCCAAAGCTTAATCATCTGCATTTTTGCAACCACCTAAATATTGCTTACACGCAATTTGCACTTATGTGCTAGACTTCCTATGTATATGTCAGTGTTACACATTTATAACACGTAAAAATCTAGATTTGTTGTGCTGGCTAGTTACATAAGATGCTTTTGGCTTTCTAACACAAAGTGGTAATTGTTTGGGCATCTTTGCTTTCAGTAGCTTATATAAGACAATAATTCAAACACTTGAAATACAGCATAATATTACAAATGCAGAATTTTGTCACCCCCTCAGTCCTATTAAATCTAGGTTGATTTTATTTACTTACTTTGACGAAGCCACTTATCAATTGCATTCTCATATTTTTTTGGTTCCTTTAACCAGTCTTGATGCCACCTAAGGTTGGCAATAACATTTGAGTAATTCTGACCCAAGCTTTGTTTCCAACTCATAAACTGTCTTTTGTTGTACTCCTGAACGGATGAAGAAACCTTTGGGTAGTTTACTACAGAGCGGAGCATTTTGTCCAAGGAATGTACAATTACTGGGAATTTTATGGCAACGTTTGTTAGCTCATCTGGATCGTCAGAAAGGTCTGGAACAAACAAAAAGTCAGTAAAGAGACAATTTGCATTTAAGTAAATTAATCAGTCAGTCAGGGCATAGAAGTTGTAACATACCGAACAGTTGTGGAAGTACTGAACGACCATCTGAGTAGGCGATATATTTCCATTTGCCAGTTCGAAGCATGTACGTGGAAGAATTCACATTGCATCCGTGGAACTCACTCAACACCCACGAGGGCCGAGGCCTTCTGGACAACACTTCATTTTCAGCTTTTCCACATAGCAGTGGTACAAGAGAATAACCACTGAGGTTCTGCGGGACAGGAATTCTTGCTATATCTAAGCAAAGATGTACGAAGTCAAAATGCTACTGCAGTTACTGTGACTAAAAAAAAAAGCCTAATGTAATGCTACACATGTCCAAACATAATGCTACCACAGTAATAAAACATGCATTCTAATTATTCTCCTTGTAGTACTCAGGAACACAAAAATATCCAAATAATAAAAAACCCCATCCTTAAGGAATTTTCCCAGGTCAGCTGCCCACCATCTTGACCAGAAGCGGTGCTAGCCATGTCTTAAGTCAGATAACCTTTAACAGATATTAAAACTGACTGCAACAGCCTCCAGTGATGGGCGGTGCTTTATAATTTTTTTATCACGTTTTTATAGCCTTGCCTTCTACTCTGACCACCTCGGGCAAAAGGAAGATATTATCATAGTGTGAAAGCACCCTAAAAGCTCCATATCCAACAGGGCCTAAACTTTCATTTCTTTGATAGTAAAAGAGCTAAGGTCCTACCTCGAATTCTTCATCACAGAATAACAAAACACTTTACAAAAGGTGGTCATTATGGTTATCACCTGTAACTGGTGGGGAAACTGAGGAACAGGGCCACTTGCTTCTCTGGCAGGGCTGGAGATAAAGAGGGTATCAGTGGTACCAATACAGTGCACATATGGAAAACACTGGGTGACTCTATAGCCCCTAGAAGATGCTGTAACTCAAACAAGCTCCTTAGTATCTACTTACAACACAAGTCTCTAGCTCCCAAAGATCAGGTCAACATTAAGCAAAGACCTCTCAGAAACATTCAGAAAAACATAGCTGAGAATCCCAAGCACGTTACCTAAACTTTGGTGTGTCCTAAAAATGGGGTATGGCAGTACTGCTGTTTTTAATCACCCTACTGAATTTGGCATGTAGTTACTCAAAATTCAACACTTTTCATTTCACAGACCACCATGGTAGTATTTTATCTTCCGTTCTGCACCGAGTGGTGAAACACAGCACACACAAATTGCCCATAGGCGACTTTTTCCATCATCAGCACGTATCTTCCTTTTTCTCCTCTGTTTCTACAGCTTATATGCCTGTCATTAATCTGTAGTTCCTCCTCTAGTAAATGAAAAGGCCAGCATTTGACTAAGCACTAGGAAGACCTGTAACTCATCAATCCAGCAGCTTCCAATGTGGAGGCTAAAAACTTGAACGAATACATACTACATTTGAACAAATGAAAAAGGGATATAGGCCTTCCTCTTCTGTCATCCTAAACTAGAAATGCTATTAATTGCAGTAACTGCACTCTCCACATGCAAAGAATGCTGCAGGCTGGCACCTTCAGTAGCTCCTGTTTTTCCAACAGAGGTCCGAAGGTACTTCCATCCAGACAAACAAAGTCAGTGCTGTCTGGAGGAAAGGTTACGCTACATCCTGTTAAAAAACGGAAGAGCTGTTGCACTCCTGGCTGAATGATCTGTATCACACAGACTCTGCTGGAATCAAAACATCTGTACTGCCCTTGCTATAGGGTGTGCCTAATCTCAAAGTCAGTAAAGCAAAGTATTTGGATGGCATCTTAAGAGACGACAACACAAGGCAAAGGGATTATATTTATCACAAAAAAAAAAAAAAAAAAAGACTTGAAATCTGTTTCCTTATTAGTCAGCAGCAGCATGCAGCCTGAAGAGATGACAGATTCTTCATGTTTTCGCATTCTTCTTTATGTATGTGCCTTTTTTGACATTCAGATTACAGGACAGGGGAACTGTCAGAACAAAAGGTAAGGACTTACACACACAAAGTTCCAGGAAGAAAAAAGAAGGAGGAAAAGAATAGAGAGGATGTTTAAACCATCTGACCAATTATCTTATTTGAGGAAAAGGCACAAAGAAAAAAAAACAAAGAGATTTTTAACTCTTTAGATATGATACCACATATAAGAACCATATCTAGTATGAATTAGAATCTTAGAACAGTTTGGGTTGGAAGGGATCTTAAGTGTTATCTAGCCCAACCCCCTGCAGTGAGCAGGGACAGCTTTAGCTGGATCAGGCTGCTCAGAGCCCCATCCAACCCGACCTTGAGTGTTTCCAGGGATGGGGCTTCTACTACCTCTCTGGGCAGCCTATACCAGGGTTTCACCACCCTCACAGTAAAGAATTTCTTCCTTATATCTAGTCTAAATCTGCCCTCTTAGTTTAAAACCACTACACCCTGTCCTATCACTACACGCCCTGCTAAAAAGCTTGCCCCCATCCTTCTTATAGATCCCCTTTCAGCACTGGAAGGCTGCTGTGAGGTCTCCCCAGAGCCTTCTCTTCTCCAGGCTGAACACCCCCAACTCTCTCAGCCTGTCCTCACAGGGGAGCTGCTCCAGCCCCCTCAGCATCTTCGTGGCCTCCTCTGGACCTGCTCAAGCAGGTCCGTGTCTGTCTTGTGCTGGGGCCCCCAGAGATGAACGCAGCACTGCAGGTGGGGTCTGACCAGAGCAGAACAGAGCAGGAGAATCCCCTCTCTCAACCTGCTGGCCACGCTGCCCTTGATGCAGCCCAGGATGCGACTGGCTTTCTGCACTGCGAGCGCACATTGATGGCTCACATCCAGCTTTTCGTCCACCCGCACCCCCAAGTCCTCTCGGCAGGCTCTTCATCCCTTCATCCCCCAGCCTGTACTGACACCAGGGGTTGCCCCAACCCAGGTGCAGGACCTTGCACTTGGTGGAACTTCATGAGGTTCACACGGACCCACTTCTCCAGCCTGTCCAGGTCCCTCTGCCGGTCATCCCTTCCCTCAGGTGTGTCAACCCCATCACTCAGCTTGGTGTCATTGGCAAACCTGCTGAGGGCGCACTTGATCCCACCATCATTCCCCGTAATGAGTATTTCCATATCCAAGAAGGTAAGAATGGATATCCATCATCATATCTTATTATGCTTGCCCGGATCAATTGCATATTTCCTGTACAAAGACTTTATCACATTTCTTGCACGTCACCCTTCATAAAGGACATTGCTTTGATAAGCTAATGAACCTGTCATCCTTTCAGGTTTAATCTCATGTCTAGATGCATTTACACTGTAATTTCTATAGTAAACTGTTAGGTATGAAGGCTAGCCAGAATTATTCATATCTAAAACGCATCAGTTTGTAATCCTGTATAAAATTATTCAGTCATTGTGTTGATGACAGTAACAGGAATAAGGAACATCATCAGCTCCTTTTTTTAATTTTTACATTCATTTTTTGCATTTTGTATTAAGTGCGTATGTATGCTCCACAGATAAACTGTTATTTCCTGTTGTGTTACTACATTGCCTTACAAAGTGGAGACATAGTTCCAACCGTAATACAAACACATAATAATAACCGGGTAAAAAAAATTTTCATCTGAAATGACTTAACTCACCAAGCATAGTAGGGTATATATCCACAAGAGACACCACATTTGGTACTTGCTGCTGTTCTTTTACCCCTGGCCCCATAACTAACAGAGGGACATGGGAACTTCCTTCGTACATGCTCATCTTGTAGAACTGCCGGTGTTCCATAGCAAGTTCTCCATGATCTGCAGTGAATATAACGATTGTTTTTTTAAGAAGCCCAGTATCTCTCAGAGCTGAAATAATCTCACCTGCAACAAGAAAAAGATACTGAAAAGGATACATTCAAAACATTCCTTCCAACTTCTGTACCTGCAAAGCAGCACGCAAACCCGGAGGAATCCTAATCGGAGCGTTGGAAACTCCTCTCTCTGCCACAGAAGGCAGAGCCCAAAGCATTCGGCCCAGAATAATGTACAGTCACCAACGAGTTGCAGGGGTCTGGCTCCCAGTGAAGTGTGGAGGGCACTGAACAACAACCATAAAAATTTTAAAAGGGAAGGACAAGCTGTATTTTTGCTATTGTCACTTTAATTTAATTGCTAGTACAACTAACAACAGCGATTTCAACAGCGGTAAAAAAGGCCATCAGAAGCCCTGACACTAGGATTTAGGGTGAAGGACTCTTGCAAGAATCCACCTTACACATAATCAGTGGAAGTTTCTCCTTCCTGTGCCTACATCCCCACAGGAGCCTCTTGCACATATATATGTGCAATGAAGACAGGGCCAAGACAAATTAAGTCCATAATTAAGCAAAGCACTTACACATCTTTAATATTAAAACACGAAGATGATTCTTGCTTAAAAAGACTAGTTAAAAACTTAAAATACATTACCAAATTAAATCCCAGTGCAGTTACTTTGCACTACCTTAATTCCCTAAAACTGTCAGGCTCCTGTTGACCTCTTTCCTTTCATAAAATGTGGAAGAGTAATTCTGTGTCTTGTAAATTACTCTATCATCCTAATATTGCTAAAAAGGTTAGCTTATTTATTCAGGAATTTCATATTAGAATGCAAGGAAATTCTTGTTCATTCATGGTCACCTCTCAAATTAAGAAATAAAATACTGTAAATGAAGACCAATTTGCATTGTAATTTTTATGTATGTAGACCTTACTGCAAATCAGGCAGAATTCTTAAGGCCTAATTAATTCCTTTTATTCTTAACTTTCAATAATTTGCTGCTAAGGGAGACTTCAAAGGTAACCTTATTGTTTAGTCTATGCATAATAGCTGTCATTCAGTCCATGCATTTGAAATCAATCTCTAAGGAAACTGCTTATGCCCTAAAATTTACCTTTCCTTCTAGATCTGCTTTGCCAGTCTGCCCTCTTCACAAATGTTTCCATTATTTCAGGTAGCACTTAATCAAAGAGTATTTAGTTCCTCTTGTACATGGGTCAAGCAATTTTGCTGCAGTTACTGGGCTTTCACAGGGTCTCTGACTGCTGGTTGTGATTATTGTTCAGAGTGCTCTGAATTCACCTTGCAATAGCCTTAAAAGCTCTCCAGTTATTTATCATCTAGATTGATTAAGCAACATCCACGTGACTTACCCCCACATCTGATTTGTGGGCTGTTCAGCTTTTTTTTTTCCAGAAGACCAGCCCTATCAGCTTTTTCTTAAAAAAAACAGAACAAGAAAACTCACTGTACAATGAAACATTACCTACCCAGCATGGCATCTGTCTCTGCACACATAGCATAATAAAATGCTCTAATATTTCTCACTTCTTGCTTTGTAAACTCTGCTGTGCAATTCTTAGTGTAAGATGAGTAATAGTCTACTGGATGCATCTCTGAAAGAGAAGACCACTTGGGAATTTTAATAGCTTCATAAGTTACCTAAAAATAAGAGGAAATTAACATTACTTTAGCAACTGAATTAAACAAATTTTTTATACTCAGATTTAACTTAAAACTTTACAGCATAAATTCACAGTTCTCAACTTGTGGTCCAGGAAACACCAGCTGCTTAGTGGTCACATGGTGCTGCTACCTCCTCCATACTTCCCCTCCGCTTCCATAGGTATCAAGTAATTTTAAGAGCGCGCTATAAAAATCAGCTAGAAACTAAAGCTAGGAGCCAGAAATATGTGCTTTACCAGTAGTCGTCTTTTTTTAAGAGAGATACTGCAGAACGATCTTCTAGAACTGTTCTCTAGAGTAAGTACAGAAGTATCAGCATAGTGTCTCATTAACTATAGGATAACTATAAACCATACATATCAAAAAGATCAGGTGTTATGTGAGCCTACAGAATAATATGGAAATTAACTTAGTCTGGGAAGGTCTCCAGGGCAGTGGATGACAAGTCTTCACACCTTGATAAAAAAGATTCACTACATTAGGCCAATTTTCTAATACTCTTCTATTTGTTTCTACAGATGCCAATCCATTTAGTTATGAAGTGTAAGATCAGTTTGAAACTAAAAAGTAGGAGCCAATCAATTACAAATAATGTTGGATTTGTATATTCAAACTGGCATGCTCACAGATACTGTGTGCTGCCATACCAGCTTTAGAGCCTCAAAGCTCAATGCACACATTTAGCCAAGGCAGTCACACTTGCACGCCTTCCCTTAAGTGCTGCATTTAACAGAGTTAAGTACTTCTATGTTGTAGACTTAAAGCACAAATTACCACAAAGTAGAGAAGACGTATTCTCAGTATGGAAAAACTTAAGTTTATTAAATAATAAACCCACAACTGTTGCTCTCATTTACCTCTGAACATCATCTCTAGTGAACAGAGCTGAGGCCTGGATGATGACACAGCAACCCCCGTGCCTGTGCAGCACCTTCCCAGGGCTGCAACCACAGCTCCACACCTGGGCTGGCCCCGGACATGGGCAGCACTGGTTCTTGATAAAGTAACTGAGACAATTACTGTCCAAGGGGCTCCATGCAGCACAAAAGCAATCAGACCAAAGCTGTCCCTAGAAGCACTACACCCCTGTTTATTGGTGCAGCAATTTAAGAATCAAAGTGTGCTGAACCCAATTTGGTTTTGTCCCAAGGTGTGGCATGGATAACTAAGAACTGTCTGGTGGGGCTACAAGCATAGTGTCTGTCCCTCAAGCACACAGTGTATCTCTGATGACCAGTGCTGTTGCGGCCACGTGTTCCAATACTCACAAAGTTCCACCTCCACCCACAGTCAATATTCTTTCTTGAGTTATCTAGCAAATATATTAAGTCATCTAAACAGTTGCTAAGACATCAAGAATTAAAGTGCCCATAGGGATAAAACCTGGCTTTGTAACAGTCAGACTTACCAAAACCTGTTTTCTTAGGCCCTATAGAAAACAGGCTGCAAGGAGAAATCTAGACGGTAAAGTAACAGCAGACAACTGCTTCAGTCATCTTCCTATTGCTGAAGGTTCTTGGATACATAAAGCCACATTTTAGACTCCTCAAATAGTATTTATTAGTTGCCTAAGATATAATGGGAGCAAGAAGTGTCCCTATCCACCCACAACTCGTCAGAAGACTGACCCTTTTCTACAGGACTACAACCTGGTTTTAAGGATTCACAAAGTCATAATCACTTTGTCTGTCTGTCATCAATTCATGGGAATGAAGCCACATGCCCTGAAAAAGCACCAGCTTGGGCAAAATACAGGGGACCATCTGCTAGCAACACAGTGTTTCATAAACATACTGTGTTGATACTCTGTTCTGTATTAGCTCTCCAGTAAACATGTATTTTAATTCAAGTTCTTCACCTGTGCACTCAAACATCTTAATGAGATTGATCTCTGCCATTTTCAGACTGCTTCTTCCATAGCCAAAACACAGATACATTCCAGAAGAATCAGCCTATGGTCAATAAATGGTAATATATGGTTCACATAGCTGAGTAGGTACATGTAGTGGTGGAAAGGACCTCAGCAAACTACGAAGTTTAAGCACTCTAACCAGATTAAGGATGACAAAAATTTGTCAGAGATGTTATAACCCTGTCTGTGACTTGAAAAAAGGTACCCCCCACTTCCCAAGACATGTCTAACCTAGCAATCAGCACCTAGAAAGTTTTTCTTAATATCCAAGCTAGATCTTGCTTTTTGCAAATGAAGGCTTTCTTCCCCCATGCTCTTCCTCTCCCCACAAACTTCTCACCATTCCTAGAACTACTCACAACCCTCACTATTACAAAGAAACTCACATCTCTCAGCCTTCACTTTTTTCTAAGTCTTGGTATTTTTGTGGCACCTAGATAAAGAGATTTTGCAGTTCCCCAGCAGAAAAGGCCAAATGAGTCATATAAATTGCACACTTTTAAAAGTAAGCATAAAGTCTTTTCAACTTAATTCTCTGTTCTTCCGCCGCAGAGAATTGAAGCCGAGAAATGCTTTTATGCAGTGAAAGCTGTTGTGACCCATTTACGTTTTTACGACAGGTAACGGCACTGCAAGACGATGCAAGACAGAAAAAAAAATATTTACTTCTTTGAAATTGAGCGCTGTTAGTTTTCCACATATGGACATAATGGGACTTTTCTGCACTCTAAAGACACTGAAAAGCTACAGTAGCATGGAAAGAAGTTAACAGAAAAGACAGACTTGTGCTGTGCCTTACTACTTCACATTCTAAGTTCATATTGTAGGAAAAGTCAATCTCTCACTATAAAACTCAGACAGAATGATCGCATATAGCATCATTTATAACAAGCACAATACAGAATGTTATAAACAATGAACTTCAGACCATTACAGAAAAAAAGAAATTACAGATAAGTATAGCAACAATTTCATTCTCTGTTTAAATGTGTTTAGCCATTGAACTCCAAACTTCTTTATTGATTCAGTGACTACTGCTAACAAACTCTGTCCTACAACAGAGGGAAATTCTGTACTTCTATTTGCCTAACCTTAAATCAGAAATCTAACCTTTCATCCAAGTACTTTCTTACTGTCTACTGAATTATCAAAACTGTGTCTGACTTGAAAAAATCATGTGGGGTATAAAACACTGTTCATAATAAGTGCAGTTACAAATAAGTTTGTATTCAAATTTCATCTTCACATACCTTTTCAAGCCAATAGGGAGATGTTAAAAATGTAGAAGATCCAAAATTTTCTCCTGCATAGGGTGATGGATAAGGGTGTGGTAAATTTAGTCCCAAGTAAAGAACAAATGGTTGAGTAAGGTTACCGGCTTCTTCCTTTATCCAATTTACTGCTTTATCAGTATTCTGCCAGTCTGCTTCCATCACCCTCACAAGCTTCCTATCGCCAGTAAGATTTACCATGGGTCTCCCTTCTTGCCGGAGCAGGAAGTCAACATCCCTAGTCCAGGCTTCCACACGGTTACTGAAAACATATACACAAGATACGCACTCAGTGGAACATGTTTCCTTCACTTTTCATCCAAGTCAAAAGAATTTTGAGTTAAGAATTCCTGAAGAACTTCCCCTATACTTGTAGCTGCAATCTATTTGTAATTTCTACATGAAGGAGATTTGCTATTCAATTGATCAATAGCTATTGTGCATCTATTTTATACTCAAAGCTTTAGCCATTTTTTTTTCCTCCTTCTGAATCTTCTTTCCTATTTATTATAACTTCCTGTCAGAATGGTTCTTACATCAACAAATATTGAAAAATATTACTTGCCTGGAGAGGTTGCCTTTAGAAGCAATGTTCTGGGTTTGGATTGTGCTATTACAACACTTTTAACACTATCACTCATGACAAGAATCTGCAAGAGCGATTTATCTTGTACAATTGTTTTTCATGTAGTTGATAAATGCTATCAAAAAAGGGGAGTAAGAGAGGAGAAGGGTACAGAGAAAGCAAGGCGGGGGGGGAAGACAACACTAATGACAAAATATTTTTGGAACAGATTTTCTAGTATCATGGAAATTGTTGCCTCTCTAAAACACTTGAGAAATCTGAGCTGCAGCTATCCTTGTTTCTTTGCTAGGGTGAAGGACACCACAACTGTCATAAATGAGGGTTGGGAGGAAACAGCCCATTTAAGACCTTGAGTAATCTTCATTTTGTTCACGGCAATTTAATATAACCAGAGAAATGATACAAGAAAATATGAAAAACTGCTCAAGATTTGATCATGTACTTTCATCAAAACTCAGCATTATTATTGTTTAAAGAGCATCTAATCAGTTTTGTCCCCATAGGAATTTTACCAGTGCGCTTTTAACTTCCAGAAAAAACTATTCAGAACTATCTGTAACAACAATTTTTTTTTTATTCTTTTAATTCCTTATTTAAGCTCACACTTTCAAGGTAAACAGGCTTAAACAAATTACTCAGAACAAATTAAGGTAGCTAGATAGCCTATAGAGAAAGCATGTTTCATAAACATTAAAATGAAATGATGGTAAAGGGGTGGGTGCGTGTGTCAAATCACATCTAATGTCATGACACTGACTTAAACAGAAAAAAAGACTATGTAGGCCATAGGCCAGTCTGACTATCCAATCAGACTGAGGTTAGGAGCAAGTTTAAAAAAAAAAAAAAAAAAAAAAAAAGAAAAACAAAACCAAAAAAAAAACACCCAACCCACAAAAATCCCACTTCAGACCCTTTCCACATTCTGGAGCAACAAAGGACATGTTTTGACACATCCAAGAGGAAAACTGGTTCTCAGGTAGAAGAGGAGAAAAAGATATGCTAAAATAAGAATCTTCAAAAAGCCAGGTGGAAAGTTGGAAAAAGGGGCAATACTAGATTCAAATCCTGAACTTTAAAGGAAAGGGTAAGGAATTGACAGATAATTATTTAAAAGCTTCAGAAATTAATTCAAATTTTCAATGCTTTCAATGGGACTGAAGTGGGATCATACCTCATATCATAAGTACTCCAGCAATTGTAACAAACACACAATGGAAAAAACCCAATAAATAAAGCATGGGGATAAAACAATGCAACACTGAAGATAAAACTTAAGGAACTACCATCATCATTAACCCAAGTGAAAGTAATTACATGACAATCAGTAACTGCATCTATTTTAAATGTTAAGTGAAGACAGCCACCAACATCCAAAAGGACACACACAGTCTTTTTGACAGGAAGCAGAGACTTCAGGTATTCAAAAGTCCAGAGGTGGAAGATCCATCTCTTTCTCTCTGTTGGTATATATTTCTTTGTACACAGATTGCCTAGAAGCCCTCTTCCTCAAATCTCATTAATCCACAGCTACGAATAATTATCTTATGAGTAAGTCACATTCTAATAGATACTTAGCATATTTCGTTAAGTATTGGTATTTTTAAAATACATAAACTTCTGTAGTTACAGAGATGATTTGTGTTAGCAATGCACTGCTTACAATAGATTACAACAAAGCAGAATCAATTTATGTCACAATGTCACAGCAGAAAAGTTAACAGTTATTCTTTTATTGGGTAAATACAGGATTGGGCAGAAGTGGTGGTTTTGTTGTTTAAAGAAACAACACGTGCTTAAGAAAAGTTTCGAAAGAGATAATACTGCCCACTGAATCTTGTGCTAGCTGAACTGTTATATCTCCCTTCACTTGTCTCCTTTTTAACAAGGAATTAAACCAGCAGGATATTTTAATTATCTCCACAATGAACAGGAACCTTTGCAATAACTCTTCTATACTATTTATAATTACTTAATTGGCTACTTAGGGTTTTTAAATGTCTACACAGACACCATGCTAGGAATGAGATGTACATTTTTCTCTGGCTGAGGAACTGTATTTGCAGTTTTCATTTTTTTAATGAAAAACCGTGTAAACTGCCATTTTCAAATTCCTCTTGTATGGGTATAGAAAGGCTGGCTAACCATGTGTTTATTTTCATTTATTCTCAACCCCCACCTACACTTACTGAAATAACAATAAAGGCTTGGTCCTGTGAGGCACAGATCTCAACCTCTCACTGAAGGGAGAGCTAGAGAAAACAGATCAAAAATCTGCACCAGGTGAAAATGCAGGGCAAAGGCCTAAGACAAAAAACAATTAAAAACTTCAATACCATAGACTGCACAGTACTTTTCTGTTACCTTTGAAGTGCCTAAGAATTCAGCCTCACAGGACCAAGAGCTATGCAAACATGGTGTGATTATATGGTTACACTATAATTGTTGTTTGAGACTCAAAACCTGTCACTGAAGTACATGAATCTATGCCATAGCAGAATGAGAAAAATCAAGAGTACATGATAGTAACTCCACTGATACTGGTTCTGCTACACCTGAATTGTCTCAATTTATTTCTCATCTGTGGAGACTTACAACAGAAACATTTAGATAAGATATACCAGTAGAACCATTCAAATGTGAGGGTACCAGACACAGTAAGTATGACAGCAAGGTTAAAGCCATGGTGTGCACCGAGAGCCAAGAACATTAATGACATCAGCAAAACAGGTCAGTACTGAAGAAGGTGCTGTCAGTGTTAAGATTAATGTACAGAAGACTTGTCAGCAGTATCCTGACAGCAGGATGGCAGCCAGGTCATTGAGCATTCTGCATACAATTCCTCTCCCTGTTATTCCAACAGAAAAACAGAGCACAGTAAGATAGCCACAAAAAGGAAACAAAAAGGCTATTTCCTTGATGCTCCTTAAGACTGAAGTAAAAGGCAAAGTATCACACCATAGCAATTTTTCCACTCCTAGAGTGAAAAATACCTACGCAAAATGCCATTTCACCATTACCAATCAACGGAAAAATAGGAAAGACCTCATCAGACGACATCCCTTGCCCTATCACACGCCAGACATCCTGTTCAGACTACCTGAACACAAATCGTAGTATTTGTAAGTATGTTTGTGGGTATGAGATTGTGAGTTGGCAGAACTTACCAACTTAGAAAGTCAAGCAACACAAAAATTATGTTCCTCTTCTACATAGTCTCACATTAAGGTTTTCTTTAATTTCTACACAATAAAATTTATTTGAGAACTAAGGACTACCTGTTCAGCTTTGCACTCCCCACAGTGATGGCCTGCGTACTGAAGCCAGAATTAACTTACGGTCTTCAGCTCAGACAAATGAAGGCAAGACTTCTGGAATGCAGACAATTATATGCAACCAACCTTTTTTTTCAGGGCCACCTTTGCGTTCCAGTTATGATATGAACAGCCAGGAACTTCTGGAATTACTTAGAGCTGCTCTTCTTTAAACCTGGAGTGACTTTAGATTAGAGATAAACAAATTTCAATGTTATAAAGCATTTATTCTGTCTCGGTGAAGGGCAGGGTGAGTGCATACTATGTACTGTTTAGTCAACCCAAAATTTTCTCTGCACAAAAGTGATTCAGAAGAAAAGTGTAAGGGTCTGTATAATACTGCAGATAATTCTCATTTTTCAGAGTCCTTTTAATTTACAGAAATCTAGAAATGTTTAAGAATGATGCACCCATAGAATCATTTCTGTCTTGCTTCATTACACAGAACAAAATCTGGCCCTTTGCTTTATTGAAGAACGTTCTGTTACTGGCACTTTACAGACTACCCTCCTTCGAAAAGCTTGAATGCCTGGGTAGCCACAACGAACCATCTCTACACTACAATAACACAAACATCTGGAAGCATTTATCTTAATGTTCAGTTGTTCCTCACCAGAGAGGACATTTTCACAATATTTACATAAGCAAGCACAAGGAAACAGAGTAACACTACAGCAGATGACTTTTTAGTACATTCTTTCTTACTAGAAAAAAACAAATACGTTTTAAGAGTAATGCAGCCTTAAGAAAAAAAATTCAAAGCAAAAGACCAGAGTTTGAACGCCCATCTGTTCATAGTTAAATGCTAAGTTACTAAGAAGAGCTGCAGAGAGAGACAAGAGAGAAGCATCAGTCGTACACAAATAGTTACACTGCCTGGTAAAGTAAGTAAACATGAACTTTTTTCTGTGAGTCTGTATTTGAACAATCTTTTACTTCCAGTGTAGAACTGGTATATGGAAAAAGGGAAAAAAGCTTTCATTTCTTTTTTGACAGTCTTAAACTGGAGAGGAATTTATATCTCAAGTAGATACTACTTACAAAGTATTTTGTAGATAAAAAGCAGTGTCTATGTGCAACATACCATTAACTACTAATGTGACCTTTCAACTTCCAATTGCTCATTTTAGTGAGGGAAGTGAGGAAATTTTTAATAACTCTAACCTGTTTAATATCAAAGAAAAAGCTACTCATTATTTCAACAATTATTCATCAGGGAGATAGTGCATCTTACAAAAACTATGCAGATGTAAGACACCACATTTTGTCTCAACTGTCCAGACATATTACGCTTATTATTTTTTAACATAATATACTTAGCCTCTAAATGTTCAATTATTTTCATAAATTGCTGTAATTCTAGCC